ATGTTAACTAGTTTGACCCACGTCACTAAAAAGCATCAGACCTGGATAATCTTGACCTTCTGCTCAGCTGCACCTTCCACCAGTCCTGGCGGAGATGACTGTTATTTTTTTCTTGCTGGTGTTCACAACGAATGCTAAACACAACCCTAAACACAACCGACTGGCTTTGGGTCCTGCCTCCTACTGGGGTGATATTCTCAGCCTTCCCTAATCACCCCGATCTAAGACCCAGCTGGTCAGAACAGTCCCAAAGCAGAACATCAGGCAAACCCGACATGCAGTACCCCCATCCCGCCACCACTGGGGTCCATGGCGGTGACGGGATGGGGCTCCTTTAAGGGCTGGAAGCAGGGAAGAATGCATGGGGGTTGCCAAAACAGCATGTGAGCCTAGTGAAGAGGATCCCGAACTGAAAGCACGTGAGAGGGCGAGAAGGAACGTAAACAGTGCTCTTTCTTCTTGGCAAAAACAAGAGACAAAAGCCACCTCCGAGGAGCAAAAATTGCTCTTTTTAGATGGGAGAGTGATAGCCATTTTTAGAGGACTGTCCCATCAAACTGAAAATGATGTTGGTTTTTACGTTTGTGTTTTTAAGCAGAACATTTGAGGCTGGTTCTGTAAAGTAACTGGATCCACATGTACACAACACAGACTACTCGCCCATTTAGCTGGCCAGGGGATATCTGAGGAAACCCGGAGGCATTCTGACTGTGTTCTGTGGGTCAGGGATCACAGTGGGTGCTGCTGAGTATTCTCGTTCCTTCTGAAACACCGAAAGGAAAGGCTGCAGGGGTTTAGGACAGGGTTAGCCCCATAAGGGTCTGCTTGGTGGCATTCTCCTTGTCCTCATTCGCTTGACATTCAAAATCAGCATACCCTCGTGCTCAGGCAGAGACCCCACAGAAGGGAGGCCAGGCAACAGCATGAATCAACTCTCAGACACACAAGGGGTTGGAAAGGCTCCCTATCTGGAAAACCGAGCAGCTTATGCTCAAGAGAGGCTTTGCAATGAATTCTTTTGATTGGCAAACTTCCCCAATGGTTTCAGCTATACCTCCGAATCCTCAGTTATCAGGTTCGCTTAATTTAAGTTCCGGCTGCACTGAATCAGGTTGTGGTAGAAATACACCACCAACGATTGCTTTTTCTCATTCATCAGCCTAGTAGGGAGTGGAAAAGGGCTTGAACTATGGAGTCAGACCCAACTATAATCCACTTCCGTCCCTAAATCCCTGAGTACCAGCAGGCAGATCAGTGACCTTCTCTGATGTCCAGTTTTTGCATCTGCAAGATGGGGGTCACTTTTCCCGCCTCACAGAACACTCTGCAGTCCCCAGCACATTTCTGGCCCAGGGCAGGTGCTGAGAGAAGAAAAGTGGCGATGGGTTTTGTTAATTACAGAGTCAGAAACCTACAGAGGTTGCACATCATAGAAGGTCAGCAGCTCTGACCTAATTCCTGCCTAGGCCTTGGAGGGGGACAACTACCACCAGCTCAGAGATTTCAGGTTTCAGGGTGTAAACTGCAGGATATTGGTCCTTCAAAACCCATGGGAGACACAGAAGGACAAATAGTGTATGATTGCACATAAATGAGGAACCAAGAGTAAGCAAATTCAAATAGACAGAAAGGACAAGAGAGATTGTCAGGGGCCAGAGAACGTGGGAGTTGTTGCTTCATGGGTATAGGATTTCAGTTTAGAGTAATGGAAAAGTTCTTGAAATGAATGGTGGTGATGGTTGCACATCACGTGACTGTACCTAATGCCCCAGAAATGCACATTTAGAAATGGTTAAGATGGTCAATTTTGTTCTGTTTATTTTACCACGATTTTGAAAACCGGGGGAAAAAATGCCTTGGGATGATACAAATCAAGATACAAATCCTGGGGCCGCTCGCTGGATCAGCTGGTGCAGCCTCTGACTCTTGATCTCTGGGTCATGAGTTCGAGCCACATGTGGGGGCTTGTCGAGATCACTAGATAAATAAAACTTATAAAAACAGATACATCCAATCATGGAATCTACAGCAGTTAGAAGAAATGGAGTAGATTTTGTTTTGTGGACATAAAAAGATGCTCAGTAAAAAAAAGGCAAGGAACCATACGTGGAGTATAATGTCACTTGTTTTCTCTGCTTCACACTTACTAGCTCATCTTATCCTTGTGACACCCCCTATGATGTACATACGATTGTCTTCACCCCATTTGGCAGATGAGGAAACGACGCCACAAGCGAGGTGACGCACCTTGCCCAAGGACACAGATCTAACAAGTCGCAGAGCTAGAAGTCTGATCTAGCTCCAACTCTCTGGCTCCCAGAGTCTGAGTTCTAGATGCTTCCGTATCATCTTCACTTGGGAGCTTCTCAAATATGCGAGTTCTCCGGCCAGCTCCAGACCTCCTGGATCAGATCTGCACAGCACTGAGATCCAGGAGGAGTCTTGTACATCTCGGAGGCCGAGGGGACTGCAGCCCAAACCATCAGGCACCGCTTAGTGTCTGTCTCATGAGAATAATAAACGTTAACATATGCATCGGTAAACTTTATTTGGAATTCCGTGGACTATTGTTTTTATTAACTGAGCAGCTTATTTTACAAACTAGACCAAACAAACAAATAAACCTGGCCACAAACTAGGTTTCATCCTGTCTTATCATTAGCTTAAGAGTTATTCATCAGGGGGGCACCTGGGTGGCTCAGTGGGTTAAAGCCTCTGCCTTAAGCTCAGGTCATGATCTCAGGGTCCTGGGATCGAGCCCCGCATCGGGCTCTCTGCTCAGCAGAGGGCCTGCTTCCTCCTCTCTCTCTGCCTGCCTCTCTGACTACTTGTGATCTCTCTGTCTCTGTCAAATAAATAAAATCTTTAAAAAAAAAAAAAAAGTTATTCATCAGGGACGCCTGGGTGGCTCAGTTGGTTAAGTGTCTGCCTTCTGCTCAGGTCATGATCCCAGGGTCCTAGGATCAAGTCCCGTGTTGGGCTTCTTGCTCAGCCAGGAGTCTGCTTCTCCCTCTTCCTGCCACTCCCCCTGTTTATGCTCTCGCTCGCTCTCTCTCTCTCTCTCTGACAAATAAACAAAATCTTAAAAAAAAAAAAAGTTATTTTGTCAGTTTAGAAATGTTTTTCTCTTGAGACTCCTGCCTCTGACCTTCCAAACTCAGTCTTCAACCATAGAGTAAAACCTTATTGAACTCAATTCTGACTTGCAATATATTCCTTTGGAGTCTGGTGAAGGCTTTGAGAAATTGAAGAAATTGTTTAGTAAATAACTTGTCAAGCTAGTCACTAGGCTTGGAGGGGGCATATGTAAGCCACTAAACAAAGCCAGCCCAGCTTCTTTTTTCAGTTTTGAGGATCTTAGTATATTAATGGTTTCTGATTGCAAATGAGACATCAACCTTCGTTAGGGGGCCAGAACTGCTTCCGACAGACATTCTGGTAGTACTTTATTTGGTCTGATGTAATTTAATGCACTAGAACTGATGTCTTATGAGTGGCTCTAAAACTCACACATTTTCCGAGGCATGTAAGTTCTATCCCCTTTCCATACCCACCCTTACAACCGGGCTGATTGATACAGTTTTTAACTTATCAAGCCTTGAATATAGTATTATGTAGTTAGGGTGTGTTTGCTTAAACCCTGAACTAGGAAAGTTCCTCTGAACATCTCCATGCCTCAGTTTCTTCACCCATAAAATGGGTATATTAAGGATTACAGCCAGGGTCACCACATGTGGTTGTACAGACTGAGCGCTGCATAGAGTTAGGGAGTACCTCCATGACTGTAGGCTGCTGCTCTGCCTGGAGGGTTCCTGAGAGGATAACATGAGCTAATAGCCACACAGCAAGGGAAATTGTTTGAGTGTTTGATGTTTTTAACAGAACAGGTCTTGATTCAAGGGATTATTGCTCTCAAATAAATATTGGGATGAATGACAAGAGAAATCAACTTGGAGAGTTAAGATGTGCTTTCCTCAATCAAAATCACTGATTTGGTACACAATTAATATATTCTTCCATTAAGAAAAAAGTCAGGGGGGGTGGCGCCTGGGTGGCTCAGTGGGTTAAGCCTCTTCCTTCGGCTCAGGTCATGATCTCAGGGTCCAGGGATCGAGCCCCATGTTGGGCTCTCTGCTCAGCGGGGAGCCTGCTTCTCCCTCTCCCACTCCCCCTGCTTGTGTTCCCTCTCTCACTGTCTCTCTCTGTCAAATAAATAAATAGAATCTTAAAAAAAAAAAAAAGTCAGAAAGCCTACCTATCTACAAGATGGAAGGGAATGTCTGCCTTCCGGGGCCACACAAGGAAGTGACAGACCCAGGGGTACAACTTGCTGGAGTGGCGGGATCTTTGGGAGGAGTTAGGTGCTGAGACCACACAATCTCTCGATCCCAGCTCCACCATCACCAGCTATAAGACCTTCATGCTAACCTCAGATGAACCCACTTTAAACCGGTTTCTTTCATCAGTACAGAAGAGAATGATAACTTCATCGCTGAGCTGTCAGGAGGGTAGACGGAGACAGGCACACAAGGACTCACCACTGTTTGGGGGCACTAGTGAGCTCCCAGCAAGCCCTTGCTTGCTTGCCTGCTTACGGTCTTACCAGAAGCATCATTATTATTCCAGAGACAACTCTCTCTTTCCACTTCACCTTCTACTTCCTCGCATGCCTACTTTCTTCCAGAGGGCACTCATTCCCACCACTATGATGACCGTCCATTGTCTTCTCCTGCCTGGCATTTTCTCTCTAGCAGCTGTTTTAAACCCTTGAGTTGAACCCAATACAAGACTCATCTCCTGGGAAAACCAAGAAAGGCCAAGAGAGATAGAAATCCACCTAAATGGCTTACCAACAGTTCGCCTCTGCTCCTATCCCTTAGGAATAACAAAGTGACCATGGTATTGTCTTCATGATATGAAATGTGGTTTCATCTTCATCACGGCCTCCGTATGTAAATATCCTCAAATACAGAAAATGTGTCCTGGGTTTTTCCTTGTATCATGTTTTAACTATTTCTTGCAATCTAAGCTTCAAAGTAGAAACACTAAGGGTTGCCCCACTTTGTAAGTTTTAAAAAATGGACTTCGTAAAAAATCATTGCTTATTAAATGAGTCTACCAGCTACATGGGAGCCGTAGACACAAAGAGAGATAAGGTCAAGAGTGGTCCCCCGGGAAGGTATAGCCTTGTAAGAAAAACACAAGGGGATGAGAGTTATGTAGCAGGTGCCAGGTTCTGCAGCAAAATAAGCCCCGGATGCCAAAGGCTGTTCTCCGGTCACCACAGGCAGGCGCTTAAGGCCAGGTTTCCCAGGAACTAGGAAAATGTTTGAGTCCTTGGGGGGGAAAAAAAGGCATCATGTCCAAAATATGAAAAAGAAATGAGATCAAATACATATGTAACTGAATGTCTTCAAAACCTACCATATGTCAGCGGCATCCAAATTATTTATAAAAAGTGATTCCATCTGAAGATGATTTGTAAGCTGGGCTTTTTTCCCCCTTTCCATTGCCTCTCCCCTGGTTCCCTGGGGTTAACAGGCAATCTTTGGGGCTTCTTGGCTTGTGGCAGCCTGACTCCTGTCTTCCCACGGCACCCTCCCTGCGGGGCTCTGTGTCCAAATTTCCCCCTTTCCATAAGGATACCAGTTCCTCTTGGCGTAAGGGCCCGGCCCACCGGCCCCCCCTCCGCCCCCAGTGTGGCCTCCCCCTGATTTAACTCATTACATTTGCAAGGCTCTATTTCCAAATAAGGCCCCGTTCTGTGGTACTTGAAGTTAGAACCTCAGCACGTGAATTCTGAGGGACACAATTCACCCCATAAGAGTGGGCATAGTAGTCATGGGAGGAAGGCCAGCCAGGCACCTGCAAAGGCCCTACAGAGACCAGAGAGCACAGGGCCACGCAGGGAAGAGAATCAAGATGAACCTGAGGTGGGGGGCCCGGGTGGCTCAGTCAGTTAAGCATCCAACCCTTGGGTCGGCTCAGTTCATGGTCTCACAGTGATGAGATAGAGCCCCACATCAGGCTCTGCCCTCAGTGCCTCATCTGCTCGAGATTCTCTCTCTCTCTCTCTCTCCCTCTGCCCTGCCCTCCATCCCGGCTCATGCTCATGTGCACTCTTTCTAAATAAATAAAATCTTAAAAAAAAAAAAAAGATGAGTCTAGGATGTGTTCAAGAGCAAATTACAAAGTACTTTATAAACCAAATACAAGTTTCATCTACAGGCCAGGGGTTTTCCAGTATGAGATTTTAACATCAAAATGAAACATTAAAACAATCCTTATGCACCTCCGCCTTCCCTTGCCCTCCTTTTACCCAACTCCCCTTACCCCAAGATCCTAAAAGCCAACGAAGGAAGAGTCAAGCTCAAAGGCGTAGGGAGTCCCCGGGGCATGTTCCCGCATGATCCCAGGGCAGAATCCAAGGAACGGATCCTTGTTCAGGTGACCTCCTTCCACGCCTGCCACTTTCATTTGTCTCATTTAGAAGGTAATTCTTTGGTTGTTGTTGAATCTTAGATCATAATTTATTGGATCCATTTTTTAAAGTAGTATTCTGTAATACTAAATGGACCAATCTCGTCAATATCACTACCTGTATTTAAATGTTTTATGAAAGGGGGCGCCTGGGTGGCTCAGTGGGTTAAGCAGCTGCCTTCAGCTCAGGTCATGATTTTAGGGTCCTAGGATCGAGCCCCACATCAGGCTCCCTGCTCAGTGGGGAATCTGCTTCTCCTTCTCCCTATGTCTCTTTCTCCCACTTGTGTGCTCTCTCTCTGACAAGATTTTATTTATTTATTTGTCGGAGGGAGAGAGAGAGAGAGCACAAGCAGGGGGAGCAGCAGGCAGAGGGATTGCACAAGCCGTTCATGTAATACAAGTGGCTGGTAAACAAGGAAAGGGTCTGCTACTGACCCAAGATATGCACGTTAAAACAGCAATGAGTAACTTTTTTGCCTCCAGGGTTGACAGAAATGGAAAAGATCCAGTGTTGCTAAAGCTGGGGGTGAAAAGCGCTCTGGGAGAAAGTATAACTTGGTTTATTTCTGGAGGGCAATTGGCAGCATCTACCATGATATAAAATGTAAATAAGCTTGTGTCCAGAAAGTACAGTTCTGGTGCATTCCGGTGATACAGCAATGGGCAGCCTTCACTGAGCACCTCCTGTGTACCAGATGCCACACCAAGTGCATCACAAGGATGACATCATTTGCATCACAAGATGACCTATCATCACCTCCAGTTTCCAAGAAACTGAGGCTTGGAGAAGTTAAGTTTTCTTGGTGAGTGATTAGTGATTTAAATCCGGGGAGTCTGATTCCAAACCCTGTGCATATAATCACTCCCTTTAGCATACCTCACACTTGCACAAGGATGTACTATTATAATAGACAGACAAAATACAAGATTCTAGCATTAGAAGGATCAGGGACTTCAGAAGGAACGGGGATGCCTGGGTGGCTCAGTCGGTTAAGCATATGCCTTCAGTTCAGGTCATGATCTCAGGGTCCTGGGATCCAGCCCCACGTCAGGCTCCCCGCTCAGTGTGGAGTCTGTTTGTCTCCCTCCCTCTACCCTTCCCTCCTGTTTGTGCTCTCACTTGCTCTATCTCAAATGAATAAATAAAAAATATCTAAAAATAATAAAAGAAAATAAAATCACAAGGATGGTTTGATAAATAAGTTACAGTCATACCTTGGGAAGCCCTACAGCAGTAGATAGCTTCATTCGTACCAACAGGGAAACTACTCATGCCGTTTTATTCAGTAGAAAAAAAGGAAGTTATAAAATGACACAAGCAGTAAAATGAATTTTTTTAATCAACTAGGTATGTGCATAGGTACAAAGGGACACATACCACTTCAACAGCCCACCCCCACAGAGTGATGTAAGAAAAAGGACACACACCAAGTCATTTACAGTAGTTATTCCTTAAATGTGGAAGTAGGGGGACGTTCACTTCTTAAAATATGTATCATTTAGGTCTCTTGAGTTCATAAGTGACAGAAAGCCTAACCCAAACCAGATGAAATACTACAGGGGAACATTTGCTCATGCCACTGGAAGGCCCAGAGGTCTGGTGTGATTTGACAGTTTGACAAGGCTGGGATTGGTGTGATTTGGCAATGTAGCAATGTCTTCAAGGAACTGGATTCTTTCCATCTTTGTACTCTGCTTTCAGCTGTGTCAGCTGCATTCATAAGCAAGATTCCCTCATGGTGGCAAAAAGGTTGCAGCGGTTCCAGGCTTCACATAAGCAGCCCCACCGTATCCAGAAGCAGGGATGTTTCATGTCCTCTGTTACTTAGCAAAAGTCTTCAGCTTCAGTGTCGATGGAACCAACCCTGAATGAACTCTGGGGGCCAGAGGAATAGCAGGGAAGTATCAGCTTGGGCCTATATACTCTAAATAAACCACTGAGGCAAGGAGTCCTACTGAGATTGATCAAAGCGTCCCCCAGAGCTGGGAGTACGGTAGATCCCATGTAAATCACTCATGGCTGCGACATGATGGGGGAGGGGTGGAATGCTTGTTGTGGAAACAACACTACAATACACATCTGCATTATTTAAATTTTCTACCAATTAAATAGACACCAAAGCATTTAACACTTTGGTAGTTTAAAAAATACAACAGTGGGCCTTTTTTTTTTGGGGGGGGGGTTCATGAAAATACATTGCAAATAATCTTTTTTTTTTGAAAGATTTATTTCTTTGAGAGAGAGCACCCAAGTAGAGAGAGGGGCAGAAGGAGTGAGGGGGAGAGAGAGGGAGAGAGCACCAGCTTGGGAGGGGAGGGGGACAGAAAGGGGGAGAGAGCATCTGAAGGAGACCCCCTGCTGAGCTTGGAGCTTGGGTCATGACCTGAGCCAAAACCAAGAGAACCGGCTGAGTCACCCAGGCGCCCCAGCAAATGATCATTTTTACAAATATTTTTATTTCTTCCTCAAGTTCAAATTACATAGCTAAACTTCCTGCATCCAAGGGTCATCTAAGAGACGTGATGCTCCGTGTTGTAGCTAGAGGGACCAGTGCTGGACTGAGAATTAGCAGCCCGAGCTCAAGTTCTAGCTCAGTCAGCAACAGTGAGCTCTCAGCAGTCAGGGACCTGCTCCGGACTCAGTTTCCTTATCAGCAAATGATGGCTTTGGAGGAGACGATCATCACGGTCCCTTCTATCTCAAGTACTCCTTTCTCTTTGTTTATAAGATATTCCCACCCATCCATCCATCCATCCACCCATATCCATTCATTCATTTATGGATTTTTTTTTTTTTTGGTAATAATACTATATGCATAAGATAAAAATATTCTAACAATACAAAAAGATTCACAGTGAAAAAGTTCGTTCCTCCTCCCACCCCGCCTTCCAGCCTCTGCTCTGGGCCCCGCCCTCGAAACTGTTAACAATCTATCCTGTAAGCATGGATCCCTTTCCCCGCCCCCCGCCCCCAACCTCATTTACCCAAGCACTGACCCACCGCCCCTGTATCCCCCAGTCTGCTTTTTCTCTAACTATCTCCAATGGAACTCTTGGGTCCAAAGTCTTTTTGATAGAAGCATTGCAAAATGACCCACGGAGAAAGGGTGATGCTTTATTTCTCCATTGAATTATCAACACCTTACGTTATTACCGTTTCATTTTTATTGTTGTACAGGATCAAAAAAACACATCTCCTTGTGGTTTTACTTTGCCTTTCTTTCATCCTGTTTGAGGTTGAGAATGTTAACAAGCTTAAAAGCCACCGACAGTTATTTTTGTAAATCATCGGGGCCTGTACTGGGCCCCTTTGCTCTTGTGAATCTATCAGTTTCCTTGGAATGTGGAAGATGGGGCATCCTCGACACCCCTCTCCTGGGACAGTGGAACGTAGAAACCCTCCCATTAGGCCGTGGGGTTACAGGTGGGCGTTGAGTGGGGGTGGTGGGCAGAGTGGCTCAGGAGGGACCCACGGAGTGAGGGGGGCACCGCAGAGACTGAGAGCATGGCTTATACATTGGAAAGGGTTTGGGACATCGCCAAACA